AGGACGCCAGTAATTGGGCTCTGAATCTAAAGAAACGCGACCCGAACGTGTTCAGGTCGTAAGATCTCTTCATGCCCCTGCTCATTAAAACGTTTGAGCCTTTCAGGGAAGAGTTCAGGACTCTCTCTAAACCCATTGAGATCAATTAGGGTGAGCATAAAGTTCACGCTTATGCTCAGCATGTACGCTACCTTGCAAGTTGCATGGTAGTGAACCCTGTGAGTGAATTTGTGAAGATCAAATTATTCATTCAAGGTCTTCCTGATGGTTCCGTCAGGGACCCTCTATTTCGCGGGGACCTAAAGATGCTCTCCGAAGCGATTGACGCTGCGGAGCAGGAAGACTTTCGTGTGAGCCAGGCTCAAACTACTCTGACCCCCTATTGTTCACAAAGACGATCATCGGTCGGAGGTCCAGAATTAATGGACATCTGTCATGTCGAGGGCGAGAAACATCGCCCTATGAACGACAATCGAATGGTGAGATGCCATTGCTGTCATAAGCTAGGACACTATGAATACGAATTTAGTATCCCCGCTCAGTATCACGCAGTGATAAGCGCAGTAATCGTTCACCAGTAAGAAGAAATGGAAATCGAGGATCCGATGCTGTTGCAAAGCCGCAAAAGAGAGACCTAACCATCAAAAAATGGTTGGGGATCGTACGGTCGGAGAGTTCTACTGATCCAGCAACATCAAGAGAAATTGCTAATCTCCTGAAGAAGGTTGCTCCCGATACACATTCTTTGTGTGTCTCTGCACCTGTTGATGAAGTGTCCCTCATCACCTTGACATTGGAAGTGACAAAGGACTTGTCACTTCGCGCCCTAGTTGACTTTGGGGCGTCGAAAAACTTTGTTCGTCGCCAGTCACTAGAGTCTGGAAGTATCAACTTCGCGGAGCGGGGGATCTCTCCAACGAAAATGACGGTGCGCCTAGCAACAGACGCATCGGTCACTGTGAAAAAATGTGTCGTCGGAATCCACTATACGTTGAAAGATGAACAGTACGATGATGACTTCATCGTAGTCGATCTAGATGACAAGTTTGATATCATCCTAGGACTATCTTGGCTCAGGAGATACAAGCCAAGGGTGAGCTGGCAACATCGATCGGTAATGATGCCTGCCACTTGCTCATCAGATGGCAATCAGAAGAACGTCATGGAATACATACACACACGTGGGTGTACTGCGAGTGAGTGCGATGGCTCCACTTGTGGTACGGTCGTTATTACGCCTGTACAAGAACGAAGTGTAGATGATCACTACATTGTGGAGAAATCTCTCCTGGATTCGGTAGATATGACTTCCTAAGAGTTAATCAAGATAGTGAATGTATTGGTTGATCACTGATCTAGCGTAGGCGCTTACATGCTTGATCTGATTGTAAATCAGAAGTTAACTTCGGAGATAACTCAATTGCCAAGGATAGAACCGAAACGGTTCTTGCGTGATCTGCGTAGTGCCAAAGTCAAGCCAATCTGTGTAGTCGTCGCGGAGTAAGAGTACTTCGTCGATTTTATTTCGGCAACGGTTTTTACTGAGACCGAACGGGTTCTCAGCAGTCCATTGACTGGCAAAAGCGTCATCTCTAGGAAGACTCGGATTGAGCGATACGCGTCCCAATCCTGGGAGTCACTTCAGGCAAATCCTCTGAATAAGGATTTGATCGAATTTAAGGATTTGTTCCCTGAATCCGTACTGTGCGATTGGCCTGAGGACAAAGGCACTCGACACGAGATCGAGCTTAGACCGGGCTCGAAGTATTGTGTCATGAAGCAGTGGCCACTGCCTCGTGAACAAGTGCTAGCGATCGACAAGCTCTTTACCGATCGCTTATCGGCAGACCATGTGAGGGAATAAACATCCTCTCACAGCTCTCCGACCTTCTGTGTGCGAAAGGCCACAGGAGGATTGGGGATAGTGCACGCATTCAACAAATTGAATGTAGCAACGGTACCGGCTCAGACGCCGATACAGAGGAAGGACGTAATCATAGATGGTAAAGAGTACCATATTCTCGTCCATGGTTCTTATGGATGGATTCTATCAGATCCTCATGCGTGAACGGGACATTCCGTACACGGCAGTGAGCACCACTAGCGGTATGCTGTGGGAGTGGCTAGTGATGCCACAGGGGCTGAGTAACGCTCCTGCAACGTTCAACAGATGTGTCACAAATCTGTTGAGACCGGTGCGGGACTTCGCACCGAATTACTTCGACGATGTATTTGTCCATATCCAGGCTATGGACGGACAGATGGACGTTCGGGTTCATAGAACTCATGTTCGTTAGGTTCTTCAACTTATGTTCAAGCATAAGTTGTATGCCAATCTCAAGAAGTGTATATTCGCGGCAAGCGAAATACCACTTCTTGGGTGCATCGTGGTTAAACACGGCGTACGCCCCGATCCCAAGAAGATCAAGGGAATCAGCAACTGGCCAGTTCCAGTCGATGTCAAGGTACTTCGTAAGTTCCTTGGGCTAGCGGCTTACTTGCACAAGTACTCGCGCAACTAATCCAGAATGACTGTTCATCTTTCTTGCTTGCTTAAGAAAATTGTCAAGTGGTCATGGAACGCTGAGTGTCAGCGTTCCTTTGAAGGTATCAAGCAAAGCTTGATGCAGTCGCCGATACTGGCAATTGCAGATCAGGACAGACCATTTCATGTGGTCTGTGACGCCAGAGATTTCGCAAATGGCTGAGCATTGATGCAATACAGCACAGACGTCGCGTAGCGCGTCGTCTGATATCAATCGCGTCAGCTGCAACCAGCCGAAAACAATTACCCAGTTTATGACAAGGAACTCCTGCCATGAAGTACGCACTGGCTAAGGCTCCGTCTATTTCTTGGAAGATAGACCGTCCATCGTCTATACGGACCATGCGTCACTACGCACGGCCGCAAACAGTCCCCACCTCTCGCAACGAATGAAGAGGTTGTTGTCTTTCTTCATGGAGTATAACTTCTCCGTAGAGTAAAAACCAGGACGACTGAATGTCGCCGCTGATACGCTATCACGTCGGCCCGAATTCGAGCCGACTACACACCACAACAGTGAGGCCTTTTCCACTATTGAGGTACTGTCAATCAGTGTGCCGTCGTCGCTTCTACTCGACGACGTGCGGAAGGCGTACGCAGAAAATACGAATCTCTTCCGTTTGATGAGTCATCTTCAAACCCATCCTGGAAATCCTTGTCGGATTTGCCGTCTCTATTCCGTTCCTCTTTCGATCGGCAGTGTTTTCGATTACATGCTCGATGCGGATCTCCTACGCTTTTGTGCATTATTCCCTCCACAGCAATATCATTGGTTATGTATCTACCTGTCCAACTTCTACACAGCAATGTTATGATTGACACTAGGATCACTGTCTCCGTTACCAGTTTAAATTGAGATAATTACAACACCATTTCAGTTTTTCTTGCTCTTTTTTGCGTAAGGTCAAATTCGTGTTTTTGCAAGCGTGTGCACGACCCCCTGCAAAAGCGTGAGATCTTACATCAGCTCTCCATAATTATGTCTGCTGCACTTACCTTTTTATTTTATCGTCCAGTATTTCCGTGGTCGCATCTTCAACAACTCTTACACAATTGTGTGCGCGCGTTTTAACACTGCGCTGCCAAAAAGCTACCCAATTTTGACAGACTTGAGAAGGCAAAAGCTGCACACAATGATGCAATGTCAAGCCATAGTGTCTTAAGTCAGGAGCAACGTGGCACGAGCGGACGATCATTATATAGAGCTCTCACGTTCCGCAAAAAGCATTCGCGTGCTTTTACCTTTTTGCTAAAATTTGACGTCGAAAGAACGCAACAGGGATTTTAGATAACACAGGAAGAGAGGGAAGTAAGAAGAGCATCGTGGTCGTGTATGAATGATCATAAGCATGTCGTAATCGGTCGTCTAGGTATTCGTTGTATGGTGCATTATTTGTATATTTCCCCACCTTGTGGTGCACTTCCCTGTTTTTTACATATTCTGGTCACAACCAATCTATGTCACAGAGCTCGATTGACGTGACGAAGCATTGGAGATTGACTCAATTGTGCTCACTCCCTGACCTGCAGAAGCATCATTAACTTCAAAATCAACCATTTTTTGCTATCTGTGCTCACCCTTCCATATTATGCTACAGCACAGGTGTCGTGGGCGGTTGAAGGCACATTACGGTTTTGAGGAAGACTTTGTGTTTTGCTTATTATTTCCAATCTTGTGGTGGTGTTTTTTCTACATCCGTGATTATCTGGCGCTATTTTGCTTTTGTCTATATTACGTTTGACTGTTTCGTATATTCTAAATATTTGGTGCGATCTTTCAACATCCTATGGTGCATTTCTTCAACTTTCTTTTCGGTCCGATACAGAAAGTTGACCATTGTTTCGGAAACCGGTGAGCTGCATAGCCAATATTTTGTTATTAATGTACACACGGCATAACGGATTTTGGCGGCGACGGCAGTTTATGTTCTTCGGACAAACAATAACTCATTTCATTGCAATACTTTGCTCTGCGTGTATCTGTGCTCTGGAGTGACAGGATAATTGGGACCATTGTTGTCATCGAGTATACACACCATTGCGGCGATGGGATGAGATACGTATGCGCCATTGTACATACCGCAATCTTGTAATTAGATCGGCAAAGAGCTGTACCGCAGTCGGTTATAGCTTACATGCACAGAGGCTGCTCGGACCATTCGGTGCGCCTATTTACACAATCAATGTTACGTCACCTTTATCAAAGCTGAGAGAAGACCATTCAATATGACCCAAAAAAACGACGGAGTGTATTCGTCATCGCTTATAGCATCAGGCAGGATGCAGCCTCATACCTGACTATGATATTGTCCAATACAAAACCCCACTCATTCTTTTGCCGCATATTCAGAGCACAACAACTTACCGACCCGCAGCTATGTCTCAAATCCAGCCGTCGAAGCGACATTTCTGCGGTGGTGAAGCCTGCTGTAAAATCAGCTTCGTGAGCTTGATATCATGAGTGTGAATTTTGGCGACAGAGCGGGCATGTAGGGCTCGTGCTAAACCAGTCAATAACGCAATCTTCGTGGAAGTGGTGACCGCATGGTAGAGAAACAACTGGTCGCACTTTTTCCGTCGCCGGGTATCCGTTGAGACAAATGGGGCACACCTGTTCACAAGCCTCTTCAACTTTCGCATTCTCGCCGTCGGTAAAATCTTTGAGCGCCAACACTGCGGACTGCAGCTGAATCTCTGCGTCTTTTTGAGGCTGTGGAATTTCAAGAAATGTCTCGAGCTCCGAGAAAATGGTGCACAACTGCGCCCAAGAAGAAGCAAACCCACCAGCCTGCAGTTGGCCATTCCTCTTGAATACTGCCAGGTCTGTGTACACCCCCACCAGTTTCCGAACAAAATCAGGGAGTCTCAAAGCTCTTCCTCGCACTACCGCAGGGTTGTCGGATCGAAAATGCTTCTTGGGGAACGACGGTGATAGAGCACGACGCATCGCGTTCGACACGACTGCATATATCTGTTGGCTGCGAGCGGCTGGCTTGCGAGTGAATTCCCTACGAACAGTGTTTTCCCAGTCTTCGATTCGCTTGCAAAACAGTCGCCGAAAGGCCTCCAGCTCCGAATATCGCTTTCTCAGCACCCACTGGTCGTCATTGACGTGCCGGCTGTCGGAAGCTCGGTGAATGTGCATGCAATAGACGGTGTACCAAGTACTGCTGTTGTCTTCGAGTGCTAGCACGTGGCTAGTCTTCGTGCGGATCTTCAGCTCGCTGCCAATCAGAGCCTCACGCCGTCGTGTCTGGAGCTTCAGCAGCCGGCGAAAGTGCGGCTCGTCCATCAGTCGGCTTCAGGCTGACTGCTTGTTCTCAACTGCGAATGTCGTCGAATGAGCGCTGGATGTTAGCGAGGCCACTTCTGCAGTGATGTACCGTTTTGACGGTACAATCTGCTTGTCGAATATAATTGCTGTGCTATCGTACCGGAATTGCGTCGCTAAATTAATCATTCTTTTGCATCTTTTAGCAATCTCAACCTACGGACGCGTAGTAGTCGGGCTGTTTACGCTGTGGCAAGATATAGCCTCGTCAGCTCAGTAGGGACAAGAAACACATGCCATTATACGAATGCATTTGCGTACGTATAATATTAGCTCACATTTCTATCACAAAATGATCGATTCATATCGAAGTCACGTGGCTGTGGTATTCAGCGTCCGCGTCGATTTTACATCAATCTGTTTAATATATCTGGTCTCGTCATTATAAATAAAAAAACAGCATCGTGTATTTAGACAGTAAAAAGTACAAAAATATGTATATCTCAATTATCGAAATGAGTACAGCATCATCTCCTTGACAACTTCGAGCTACCGTGGTAGACGATCAACTATTTGACGACGTGCGGACATGGAAACATATCTGCGCCTCGCAGCAGTTATGTTCGTGAGTCTATTACGAAATGGAAGTCAGTGATTTTTAAGCGAGATTGGCGACCAAAGCCATTTTTGGCCGTACTTGAGTGGCTAAGTAAATCTGAGATTTTTGTGAGCTGCATCGGTACTCCAATCAGCCTATTTCCCCTTGTAATCATATCATCAAGCACGAGTCATAAATTAACACATTCGACACGCACTTTTTGCCTACTTCGGAATGGGTTGACCCCATTGTAAGATGTGACATTGCTACATGTCAATCATTATAAAATCTTTAACAAATGATATTCTCGAGTATTATCACTCCAGAAAATGTCCGTGGTAATTATCTTTACAGATAATATTCTTATATATGTTGTTCAATAGGGTACTATCCAGCGACTAATATTCAGCTACTAATGCACACTCATTGATGCAAGTCATTACTGCATATTATTATTTTAATAAATCGATTAAGCGTCAATCCATGACGGACGCGCACTGGGTGACAAGCGAATGACTACAGACGAGTTTCTATTAACATTATATATAAGAAGGCTGCACAAAATATATTTCAATACACTTAACTTTAGTCAATACAGTTCTCGTTTCACCCCTATAATCCCGTCTTTACGTAAGTATACATGCTTCCTTAACACGCACGGGGTACGAGAGGCTATGCTACGCTTGCTTACACTTTTATCAGCGAATAAAAATACTACGGTCATCAGCATTAGTATGTCACCCGTTACAAGTCCAATGGCGATGTTACCAACAGAGGTGACTAACGTCCCTATATCGCATAAAATGTCAAATGAGGAAACGTCACGTTGATGCTAAAGAAGAGATCGACATGCATATAGTGGGGGACCTTAAGATAGCACCACGCACAACATTAGCAAGCTTTGGCCAGTCCAGAAAACAATTTTGGATGAATCGAGATGGAATTATTGTTGAGTCGATGCGTCGACGACACGACACCTATCGGTGAAAGCTGGATCGGAGAGAAGGTAGAGAGAGCATAGGACCGATCAGACGTTCCAGGAATCATGAGGGTAGATTGTGAGTGTGTATGGTGAGGTCAAGTGAGCGAGGGGTGGGATAAGGCACGCAATCGCACGATACGGCAGTCTGCAAAACACCTCAGAATAAGCCATCGTCTCCTCATGAGTTACGGTCGAATCTCAACAGGCTATAAGCCTAATGAAGTCGAGTGACGACGAGCACGTGACTGCGATTCAACACGCAGCAGCGGTGTCCATCGCAAGACGATACAACGCTCAACCTGCCGCGGGGACACCTCCAGCTGGGTCAGGCGTCAAAAGTAGGGAAGGGATGCGACCCGAGCTCGCTCTTGTGATGTAAAAACAAGCCGCGACGGTCACAAGACTTGAGAAGCTCAAGAGACAAAAAATAATGCTACTGCCGCCGACAGGAACGAAGTTCGGACCGGCAAGCAGGATGGAGTCGAGGGAGATTTGCGCTAACGGAGCTACTAGCAGCGACATTATGGTCGCCTTCCTCGTGGATGACGCATGTGAGTCCGATGGAGATTGAAGACTTACATGGCGTCTTTGAAATAGAGTCCAGAGTACGCAACGAGAGCGTAGGAAATGAGTGGCGAGCGCTGTGGCAAGAAAAGCAGTAGCACTATCAGGACTTTGCGGTGGCACGAGAGGGACTTCGACCAGAAGCCCAAGCTCAAAGCATGCAGCAATCAGAGGAGAGAGGCGATTGTCACAGCGCAAGGAAAACTGCTGCAGGTAGAGCGACATCTGCAAGGCGAAGTAGAACACCAGAGTCAACAGCGTCGTGCGCTGAGAGAGCAAAAAGAGATCCGAGCCCGATTAGTGGCACAGTTCCCAACTCGGCTGCAAGCAGAATGAGAAGCGCCGGCTTTGCAGCTCAAACAGCAGAAACGCGCTGTCAAAGAAAGAGAGCAGATTTTCTTTAGGCAAAAGAAAGAAGTGCTGAACGAGATAAGCCTTCAGCGGCAGCGAGAAGACGAGCTGGTTGAGCAAGTGATAGTGGCTGCACAAGGTCACCGCGCACGCCAATCGCGTTGACGGAAAAAGCGATGAAAGTTGAGGATAAGCAGCCTGCACGTGAAGCGCGACTCAACGAGGAGGGGAGACGACTTAACTAAGAGCACGCGAACGCCGGACTTGCTTGAAAGCACTCTAGGTATAATTCTGCCGAAACAGAAAGACGCAAGCGCGACGCGAAGCGGAGGAGCGTGGATACTCGAGATCGACAAGCGAGGTGGAATCTCGCGAAGCAGCAATGCGTGGCGCAGCGTTTAAGGTGGCGGTTAGTCAAGATGTCGGACAGACGAGACTGCAAAAAACAACTAGCCAATGGTTCGACGGGAGGAGCGCACGTCAGTGTAATGACACGAGTGCCGATGACGAAGTACTCGAAGCTCGACACCCGCGTCTCACGGACAAAGAGCTGCACAAACGTTTGGGCGGCGGATTCAACCACTGGGGACGCAAATATAAATAAGAGATCTAGATGGCTCACGAAGCATGCGGGCACGCGTGTCCTGAGAAGCTTATGATGTGCAAGTTAGGGTCGTGGTTGCGCGGAGAAGCCGAGAATTTTTTCCACGGCCAGAGAGGCTCGTGGTGGAATACGGATGGTACCCCGTCTAACGCAATGAAAGAGATGAAGTCAGCTTTCTTTCGCACCTATACGAGCGCGCAGGTATCCAAGATCTTCAACCGACGTAAATACGCTACAGACTCATGGCATACTCACAACATCTACCTTATGGCGGTAAGAAACGCCACAGGCGGGTCGACATCACTGGTCCCGGAGACTCTTGTCATGCATGCGAGTCTGGAGCGGCGTCCGGTCCTGGCTGGCCAGTACGATCGCAAACTACCGGACTTTGTTGCGCACGCACTGTAAGTATAACCCGGTAGGAGAAAACATACAGAGACAATGTGAAGAGAGCACCTAGAGCGGCAAAATCTGCGGTGGCAGTAGCGACAATGACCGGATGTCACAATGACACCAGGACACGCAATCTCTGCAGTACCGTCGGACACATCGCACTTTTCTATCCTAGTCTCTCGTAGAGCGAGAAGAAGGATGAGACGCCACGAAATGCACAGGCCGGACTGGTCGCAGTAAATCTCACCAATAAAGACTGGATCGTCGACTCTGGCGCAAGTACGGATCTGATCAAGACAATCATGTTTTATGTTTCGGTGGAGTGCGACGAACCTGACGACGTGACCCTCTCAGACAAGAAAGCGTCGCAGAGAAGCGAAGCTGCGAACCAAAGTGACTAACGAAACATTCTAAATTGAGTTACGCGATGTTTTTGCGTCATAAAAAAGACATAAACTTGATATCACTCGGGACACTGATGCTTTAAGGCTGCTGTCTCGCAAACAACAACAGCTGACACGCAGTGATGATGAATAAACGACGTCCAGATGTACGGATAAATCAGACAAAACGTACTCGTGGTCGATCGCGGCGTCGGTAAGCAAATAGCAAGTGATCGAAGGGACGTCATCATGCACGCAATCCAGGGGTCTAGGCCGCCTGGATCCACAGTACTGAGAGCATGTTTGATGAACTTCCATCGAAGCTTTGGACATTTAAACTTCGACGACGTGGAGCGACTGGCCGTGAACCTGGCGAAAGGACTCGAATTCACCGACAAAGTGCACAAAATTTCTTGACGTGCTAAGAGTACAATCAGTTAAAGACGAGGCAGTCGGAGCGTGACAGTGGGCTCAATGCCCAAATCGACGTAGTAAATGAAGTATTCGTAGTGATCTCGAAGACCCCATTACACTCATGGATACAAGAAAACATCGTAATTTGTTTAATTTTATCGAGCACAAGTCCAAGTATGTGCGCGTGTTCGTCATTAAGTCAAAGGACGAAGCGGCTCAGAAGCTCCAGCGTTTCATTATATTTTTCGAAAGATAATTCAACGTTCAGGTACACGTGCTGCGAACGGATGGAGGTGCAAGTACCGCAACATCGACCTCTTCTACCAGCAGACAGGCGTCGACCGACAAACAACAGAACGCAACTCGTTAGCATTTAATGAAAAGGCTTAACAGATGCATTGGACCATCATGAACATAGATCGGTGTATGATTTCGGCTGTGGACTAAGTTCAGCTACTGGGGGTACGAAGCGGCATTAGCGGCGTACGTGTCAAACAGGATACCAACTCGCGCCAACCCAAACAGCAAATTGCCTCTAAAGCTTTTGACGAACGTAGCGGTGAGCGTCGTGAATGTTGCGGTGTTCGGGTTGCCTTGTACGGTCTATTAAACTCCCACGAACGCATCCCTGGGTAAGCGCGGAGGACCTGGCATCATTGTCGGAAAAAATAAAGAAACGAAGGGATACAAGGTGCTGGCCCATGTAAACCGGTAGTGGTCACTAATCGACAT